AGCTGGAGGCATTACACTCTCTGACTTCAAAATATATTACAAAGCTATAGTAATCAAAACAGCATGGTACTGGTACGAAAACAGATGCGTAGATCAATGGAACAGAATTGAGAGCCCAGAAATAAAACCACACATCTATGGACAGCTAAGCTTTGACAAAGGAGACAAGAACATACAATAGAGAAAGGAAAGTCTCTTTAATAAATGGTGTTGGGAAAACTAGACAGCCAAATGCAAAAGAGTAAAAGTAGACCATTATCTTACACCATACACAAAAATTAACTCAAAATAAATTAAATACTTAATTGTAAGACCTGAAACCATGAAACTCCTAGAAGAAAATATAAGCAGTACACTCTTTGACATCAGTTTTAGCAGCATCCTTTTCAATACTATGTCTTTTCAGGCAGGAGAAACAAAAGAAAAAATAAGCAAAATGGAACTACATCAGACTAAGAAGCTTCTGCAAGGCAAAAGAAACCATGAACAAAATGAAAAGACAGCCCACGAACTGGGAGAAAATATTTGCAAATCATATATCTGAGAAGGGGTTAATATCCAAAATGTATAAAGAACTCATAAACTCAACAACAATAAAACAAACCACCTGATCAAAAAATGGGCAGAGGATATGAACAGATGTTTTTGCAAAGAAGATATGCAGATGGCCAACAGGTACATGAAAAGGTGCTCAACATCACTAATTATTAGGGAAATGCAAATCGAAACTATTTTGAGAGATAGCACCTTACACCTGTCAGAACAGCTATAATTAACAAGACAAAAAATAATAAATGTTGGAGAGGATGTGGAGAAAAGGGAAACCTCATACACTACTGGTGGGAATGCAAATGGGTGCAGCCACTATGGAAAACAGTATGGAGATTTCTCAAAAAATTAAAAATAGAAATACCATAAGATCCAGCAATCCCACTACTGGGTATTTATCCAAAGAACACAAAATCAACAATACAAAGAGATTTATGCACCCCTGTGTTCATTTTAGCATTATTCACAATAGCCAAGATGTGGAAGCAACCCAAGCACCCATTGACTGATTAGTGGATAAAGAAGATGTGGTACATATACAATGGAATACTGCTCAGCCATTGAAAAAAGACAAAATCGTCTCATTTGCAACAACATGGATGGTCTTTGAGGGTATGATGTTAAGCAAAATAAGCCAGACAGAGAAAGACAAACACCGTATGATTTCACCGTATGTGGAAGATAAACACGGGGATAAAGAAAACAGGTTAATGGTCACCAGAGGGGAAAGGGATGAGGAGGTTGGCAAAAGGGGTAAAGGGTCACATATGTGTGGTGACGGATAAAAAGTAGACTATTGGTGGTGAGTATGATATAGTCTATATGGAACCTGACATATAATAATGTACACCTGAAATTACACGATGTTATAAACCATTATGATCTCAATAAAATAATTTAAAAAAATGTTTTCTAATAACCGAGTATGTTTTTGTATGTTTCTAATGAAGTATGAGGTGCTCTGACAGCTGTCAGCAGAGTCAACACAGCATACTTGTTCTCAGGGACTCTGCTTTGACTGTTTTGTACAATTATAAATAGAATAGGGGCACTTTGAATATGATTAGGAGGAAATGGAACTATTAAAGGGGAAGTATTGGGTTAACTCTGATACTTAATTAGAACAAAGACCATCATTATTGTCATCATCTTCAATAACTTACATTGATTGTCTCTCTATTATAGAAATTTGGCCCAGTCTAAGACAAAATAAATGATTCCAAATGCCTCTAATTGTTGCCAAGAAATTTATCAATAAATAAAACTCACAAGCCTACACTGATTCCTTTAAGTTTTCAAGCCATCCAACTTATCACCAATTGCTTTTTTATAAATACCTAAAACCAAGCAAAATTGTTTTTATTAGTTGTTTTCTTTTTCATGTTTTACATGTTGGTTTTATGTCAAGCTTGTGGTGTTTTTCTCCCTACTGGATGCTCCATAGTGCGTTAGGAACCTTCTACAGTCTGTGAGGTTATCAGCATGATGCCCAGGAACTGCTCCCTTTGAGCTGCTTTCCTTTCTGGAAAACTTTACCCTGAAATCACCTTTGCCCACTGGTGTGGCTGCTGATGCTGTCCTGAAAAGGATGTCCCTAAGACAGCACATCCATAATTAAATGAACACTGTAGTCTCACTAATGCCTTTATTCATTAAACAAACAGTCACTTAATGCCTATTATGTGCAAGGTGCAGAGCCATGTGAACACAAGGCAGTAATTCAGGTCTAGCCCACGGGTAAAACACAAAAATATTTATCAATCACCTTGTCACCCACGTCCAATCAGTTGGTAGAGATGTGGGCCGAAGTGGTAGGGCAAGTCCCTGGAGGCCACTGTGGGGGACTTGGATTTCCCAGAGGAGGGGCTCTGTGGCAAGACTGACTGGGATCTACGGTCAACGGCTGCTTGCTAACCACCATGGAAGTATTTCAATATTTTAACACCCGGGATAGCCATCCTATTGCCTGCTGGCTGCAAGGACAGTCCTGGATCAAGCCTGTTGCAATCACTGCTTCATTTCTGGCATCGATACAGACAAGGACATTTTTCATACCTAAGAGCTAAACAACACCGCTGGGAGGTATATTAAGACAATTCTCAGATTCGTTTTTAGGTTTCCTCCCAAATGACATGGATTGATATGGCTGTTATTTTTCTGAGCTGTGTCTAGGCTTAAGTGGGAAGAATGGACTACCGAAGGAAACCTTAAAATCTTTGACTTTCCATCTAACAATTGTCTCACTGATAAGATACTGATTCTGCATAACAATAAATCCAAGTTTTCTTCCACTTCTTAAAGTCTCAGCCATCCCAGTATTGAAATGAGGTCATGGTGGATCCCACCGATCAGAATATTTCTGGTGAACTACAAAACCTTATTTTACCAAAATGGCTAGTTCATTTTAAAGAAAACTTACCGAAAGAATGGAGGCAATTCTTCTGAGGCAGCCGTCTGTATGAATCAGTACTTAGATCGGAGCCTAAACGCAGTGGCCTGGTCCGAGGATCATGCCTCCTTCCCAGAGTCTGGCCACTGAGTGAAGCCCCAGCGAGGTTGGCTCTGCTGCCTTTCTCTCGTTAGCCCGGTCCCAGCTGCCCCGCCGCCAGCAGGGCCCTCCCGCAGCAGCGGCTGAGATTTTCTGGGCTGCTGTCTGTCTCCTAGCTGTTTGGCTTGGAGAATAGCCATCGTCAACTTCTTGATTTACCTACAACATGCGCTACAAGCTTGTCCAGCAACATGTCTGAAGGAAATCCCCCAGCACGATCAGATAGAGCGCTCAGGGCTAGCACCCAAATGAGACCTCAGGAGCCAGACAGGAAACATTTGAGTCTAATGTTTAGAAAATATCTGTAACTTTTGTTTTCTAATATATTTTTATTATTGTTGCTTAATAATATCTTTTTTAAACTCCTCTTTATGGTGAATTTTCAAGCATTACAAAGCTAGACTAACGGACCCCTGTGCACCCATCATCCCATTGGTCTCTTTTCTATGTAACAGCCTATCAGGTATTCAATTTGAATATTCTATTTCTGATTTTGTTGTTGAAAATTGTTTTTCAATTTAGTTTGAGTGATGTTAATATTTTTAGAAAATCATACATATATATATATACATATATCTATTTTTTTCTTAACATGGAGTGTGTGGCATTCTCTTGGGCACTTTTAGTCTATCTTCAGGGTGTGTCTTTTTTTTTCCCTAAGATGGTACATCCATAATTAAATGAACACTGTAGTCTCACTAATGCCTTTATTCATTAAACAAACAGTCACTTAATGTCTATTATGTGCAAGATGCTGGTGGAGGCAAAAAGGCTTACTAGCCTCTTTGTCATCGGAAGGGCGTGGAGACAGCCCGGGGGGCAGGCAGCTGCAGGACAAGGCAGTGTGGGATTAGTCGTGCCATCTCAGTGACGCTGGCACTCAGAGGAGGGATTGCAGTCAGGGGTGTTCAGGGATCGAAGGCACTTATACTAAGGGTCTGTCAGAGAGGCAGGGGATGGTCTGATCCACGGTCAGAGGAGCACTCCTGAACCCAAATTCCCGCTCTGTCGCTTATTGATTATGGAAATCTTGGGCACGTTAACATCTCTTTGCTTTGGTTTCCTTGGCTAGTATGCTGACAGTTGTACCTCCCCATAGGGTGGCTGTGAGTTTAAGCGTGATGAGGTCTAACTAAGCGGTCAGCATTATCATTCCTCTGTTTGGGCATAGTGAGACCAGTTGCCTTGCTGGAGGGGGAGGACTCATGATCCGATAGATGATGAGAAGGTGCGTCCTTCACTGAAGAGCACGTGGGGCCTTGATAGGGGAGTGCAGGGGGCCAGGAAGCACGGCGGTGAGGAGCTCCACTCACGGGGATGATGGCTGAGCTGCATCCTGCAGACAGTGCCAGAAGGACAGATCAGGAAGAGGGAGGACATCAGTTTTAATGAGCCTCACAGGAAATGAAGAGTGGTTGGTTCAGAGTAGAGCTCAGGGTTCCTGGAGCACTAAGGGAGGCAGGCAGGGAGCAGGTCTGTCCTGAGGAACCTGGCATCTCCCTCTCAGGGAACAAAGAAGGCTTGGGTTGCTGCATTTGAATCCTAGATTTTTTGACCTTGCAAGTCATCTGCTTTTCCTCTAACAGAGGGAAAAGGTCGGAGAGGGGAAGTGCCAAGACCATGACCACACACTGTTTAAGAGCCAGCCAGTGCTTGAACCTGGTTTTCTACCTTCCGAGTCCTACCTTCTTCCTTAGACCGTGCTGCCCGTGGCTTTGTTTAGCTTATGGAACAATATGTACATATTGTATTGAGTGCCCACCCTCTGCAAGGCGACAGACTGCTCCCTTTGGGACAAAGAAGGAAAGGCTCCAAGCTGTGGGTTAGACTGCTTCAGTGCTGTCCTTCTGCATGGTTGCTAAGGTCGCTGTTATTCATATTCAACCTGCTCATAGGTCAGGGAATGACAACACAGTATCCACCCTTCCATGTTTGCTAAGCAAATACGAAGTTCACATGGTGGTGCGAGCCCAGATTTCAGGGTGAGAACTCTTAAGTTCCAGTTTTCGGAGATGGAGATGAGAGTAAGAGATAGGCAGATGTGATAAGAAAGGGATATATCAGACATCTGCAAAACAAACTGCTTTTTCATTGCATTGAAAATTTTTTTGCACTAATGTGTTTTAAAGCCTTTCATTGCATTTGTAAAAGGATATAAACACAGCCCCAATGATGCGACAATCTTTAAGAAAAGGTGTCTATTCTTGGTTTGAAGGACTTCAGAAGTGTGCTTCTTAACTTTATTAAAGCAAGATTTTGCACATTTATGCTTTGAAGAAAACGACTAGATTATGGAGCTCATGAAGATCAGAAGTCCGGCGTTTGCAGAGTTCAGACCGATTGGGAGGGTAAGTGACTTACTCTAACATCGAAAGAGATGTTTCTTTTTGTAATACTGTTTTCTATTTATTTCTAGCAGATAATTTGACTTGCATTTTATCAAAGGCTTAAGCTATTTTTTGTTATTTTGCATCCTTTTTTTCTTTTCCTTTTTACTACACAATGGAACTGTGAATTGATCTAAACCTGATAATTTATTAAAAATGAAGTTAAGGCGAAATTTTGCCTGGAGGTGTAATCCTTTCAGGAGACAAGCGGATGGAAAGTGCAGAGAAAGGGTTTCTTTTCCTAGGTTTGCTGAGACTCAGCCGAGATACTGAGTGAGTTACTCAAGTTCTCTTTGCTTTAGTTTTCCCATTTGTAAAACAGTTTTAATAATACCTGGGACTGCTGCCTGTGAAATAATTTTATCCCCTCAGAAAAAAATGAGCTATCAACATATGATATATGATTAGGTAATACATAGCTTTTGGTTTGCACTAATATGCCAAGTTTAGCAATATTTTTTGGCCAGCTTTCTGAAAGAAATAATTTGATTTTCACAATCACTTGGGCTTACTATAAGCCCGTGATGACCGCAATAGCTACGTGCCTCAGTGAAATACAAATTCTTCCCTAGTGTGCTGGCTCCCATTGTTCGAGGCAACTGGATAGTAGATGATTGTTCAGCTTCACTCTTTTTTTTTTTTTTGGTCTTTTCTCATCAGATACGCATTCCAAGAAATTACCTTAAGATTTGTTTCACCATTAAAGTGACATTCTCAGCTGTGCTCCAATCAACTGGATAAAAGCGGAAAACCCATCAGAAGTTGTTCCTGTTGACTATCACCTTTCAAAGTATGTGTATGTGAGAGAGAGCCCTTATCCATCTCCAACTATTGTTAGAAATAAGTGCTGATGTATTATAAGATGCTTCTCATGCCAGAGGGTTCCGAAACTTTTTGAAACTGCACATATAAACAGGCATTACTTCACCAGCTATTGAAACGCGGCCACCTCTTGGACGAAATGTGGCAGCTGTTTGATAATGCATAGCAACATTCCAAAACAGTTGAGGCCTGGAAGTGAGGGGCAAGCTTGCATCCAACTAAAATCACCTGGGAGTCTCCTGGACTGAGCCGTGCTGTGCTGTGCTGTGCTGTGCTGTGAGGAATCTTTTGTAACCACAGGAGGCCAGGACATTAGTTTTATATCTCCCTAGGAAGGCCAGCCCCATTTTGGTCAGTGTTGGCTCATGGTCACCTGCTAAATCATCCTGATCCCAGATCCAAAGTGATGGACGTTCCTCTGAAGTGCAGCCAGTTTTCCACATTGGCTGACGGAGGAGGCTGGGCAGCATGGGGAGGTGGCCTTAGATGAGGATCATGGTGACCTGACCCCTGCAACAATATTTGGAACTGGGAATGGCCCAGGGGGATAGAACAGAAAACTTTGTCCAAATCTTCCTGCTCCTCTAAAATATATTATCTGACTTAGAGACATTTACCAAAAATCCATCAACCTTGAGTCTGTAGTGTGCTTCATATAGATTTAGTCACATGTGCCAAGTATCTCAGAGAAGACCCAGAAAAGTAGCTCTTTTATGGATCACAATTTCGTTAGCAAAAATAGCTTCTCCTTTAGGCAAAAGAAGAACTCTATTTACAAGTAGATTCATCTTTTCTGGATAGGTGTTACATTAGGGAAGAGCAAAGCTGATGACCAGTGTATTCCCTCATGCCTTCTGTCTTCCCAGGGCAGTGTGATTATCTTTACACTTAACAGAGAGGAGTCAACACAACATACCAAAACCCATGGGAGGCAGTGAGCACAGTGCTCACAGGAAATTAAAGCTATAAATGCATACATTAAAAAAGAAACCTCTCAAATTAATAACCTAATTGTTCACCTTAAGGAACTAGAAAAAGAAGAGCAAATTAAACCCAAAGCCAGCAGAAGGAAGAAAATAACAAAGATTACAGTGGAGTTCAATAAAATAGAGAATAGAAAAACAATAGGGAAAATCAGTGAAGCCGAAAGTTTGTTCTCTGGAAAGATCAACAAAGTTGACAGACATTTAGCTAGACTGAGTACAAAGAGAGGGGGATTGATAGTGGCAGGACTTGTTCTTTCATTTTGTGGGGCTTGATGGTACCAGGCCGATCTATTTCCTCACCTGCAACCGTGAGCCTGTGTAGGGCTGTCTTAGAAGACAGAGGGTATGGAGGGTCACGACCATTCCTGGAGGCTCTGTGATACAGGTCAAATAGAACTGTGTGCTTTCCACATCCCAATTATTCTGCTGTGAGCAAAGAAAAGGAATCACAAACATTGAAGTCAGTCTCAAGGTGGAAAAGAACAGCCTGGACTGGACTGGGGTAGAGGGTGGAGTCTGGCTTTGGTAAAATCAGGAGGAACTGGTGGTGGTGGGATGACAATTATAGAGTGATTGTCTAAGCAAGGTCTTGGCTCAGAGCATTTGCTGGTTGAATCCCTTGCCTTTCCTGCCCTGAATCATTCCGTGAGCCCAGCAGTTCTGTCATCTCACAATGCAGGAGTCGGGGCCATTGTTCCAATTCGCCATATCCTGATAATAGCTCTGGTTCTCCGTGGAAAATTCCACTTTCCCAACTAAATCCAAATTAAATATTGACTTTACTAATTTTAAATCATTTCACGCATAGACAAATGTGCTTTTATGAGGACATTTTGAGGAAATGTTTGAGCAATCAGTCAGATGCTACTTCTACTGTCTGAGGCTTCATGGATGTGAGCAGTAGACACAGGCCTGCAGCAACTTTCCTTGGAAGGATCGGCAAAGGCCTGGCCCTCACAAACACTATCCCTGACCAGACACTTGTAGAAAATGCGGAGCTTCTGTGGGTGTATCAAATGGTGTGTGTTTTGTTAAAATTATCCTCTTTCCCTCACCCGCAACGTCTAGTCATTCTCTGAGTCCTAATGCTTTGTATTGTCTTCCTCAGCCCTGCTTTGGAAGCACAGCGCTTCTCCCAGGGCCATCATTAGAGGCTCCTGGCTTCTTCCTTCTCTAATCCACACTCCATCCGGTTTTCTACAGTGCCAGCAACTTGCCTTTCCAGATGCACGGTGGTGCTGCTTCCAGAAGGGCTCCCCACTGCCCACAGAATTGATGCCAGAGGCCAGCGTCTGCCATTTGAGAAGCATTTAATCTGGGAGGACCAACCTTTCTAGACCCCAATCCTGTATCCCCAAGCCCCTCCCCAACACCATATGCTCAAGCCATGCCGGACTTGTAGTTTCCTGATTTTGTAGCCTTTCCCGTCCATACCTCCAGCCTTCACGTGACCACAGCCCTAACTGACGTCTTGACTGCAACTTCATGAGGGGCCGTGGGCCAGAATCACCCAGCTAAGGCGCTCCTGGATTCCCGACCCACAGCGCTGTGATAAATAAATAGCTGTTGTTTTAAGATGCTACGTTTTGGGGAAATTTGTTACAGAATAATGGATTCCCCTCCCTGGCCTGGTATTGTTATAAATCAGCAGGAGGATCCAAGCAACCTCCTGCTGTGTTGCTCAGAGTCGGCAAACTCCCCACACTAGATTCGGCCCTCATCACACGTCCGGAGTGGACAGTGTGGAAATGGAGAGACAGGACATGCAACTAATGTGAAGCTTGAGGAGGAGAAAGCAGAAGACGAAGACCTGTTCACAAGTTGGTAGCTGGATGCCTACAATGTCTGAGCTGGCTTTTCCCCTTTTCTATGAAGGGAGAGGCAGTAGAGCAGGGAGAAGAATGAATATTTTGAAAGGCTTCACAAACAACAGAATGTGTTTATGCTTGGTGGTTTGTGAGGCAGCAATTGACCAAGAGGTCAGGGCATTGTGCGGTCTGGTGGGAGCCATAGCTTAGGTTTTGTGTCCAGTTGCCTTGATATTGCTCCACATCAGTGTAACTGTCTATGAAATCATTTCTAGAAGGAATAACTTAAGAAGGCACAAAGGCTCGTGGTATAGAGCCTCTCGTCTGTGACCCTCAAACCCACGGCCTTGTCCTGAAGTGTGGCCCCAGCTGCGTTGTGAACCTGTCTGCTCTTTCTCTGCTCCCTTTGTCCTGCCACAACGACCAGGGGCCCCAAGTTAGTTCACTCTGACAACTATCGGGTACCCACTCAATATGTTCTCGGTGCTCACACCTTTTTTTTGCTATGAAGATGTGTAGAGCAGGGAATATTTACAATCTCTTTCTTACACCTTACTTGATGCGTTATCTCACCTGACAGCATTATCATTGTAAGTCTGCTCTCTCACTGTGGAGAGAAAAGATTCTCCACAGTATGTAATCTGGATTTTATTCTGAAGACAATGGGAAGAACTCAGCAGACGGCATAACAGACGTCTTGCTCCCGTATCTTGGTGGGGTGGGAATCAAGGGGGTTGAGACTGGAGCTGGGGGTCAGTCCAGGAGTGTGATAAGGTAATCCAAGGAGAGATGTTGGGGGTCTGATCTAAAGCGTTGGCTAGAAGAAATGGTACCTGGTAGCTGCCTGCTCCCCCTTCCACTATGACTGAAGTTGACATGATTAGGCATTCCTCCGTGACTGATTGGGCGATCCTTTGTGGAATGCATGCCACATTGCAGGCTCTGTGCTAGGAGGGGTTTGGGAGAAGAGGAGTAGCCCTGGTTCTGCCCTCAAGGAGCTCACAGGGGCTTGCTGTGAGATGTTTCTGCCAACACCAGCAGGGCAAGCTCACCTGTGTTGTAATTATGCATTTCACGCAGGCTTAATAAGATAGTAGACACAGGAGGTAAGAGCAGGATAATTGCTTAAAATTGAGGCAAGATATTTTCTTATATCCTGTAGGTATTAACATTTAGTGACCCAGACAAGCATGTTTTAAACCTTCCTTCTTTGAGTCATTTATAATATATTAAACAATCTAGGTGGAAAAAAGTCGCAAGGGTCCTATCTTCTGTTCAACCCATCAACCTTAATTGTCTCTTCCAGAAATTATTATTTCCACACTCAGCGCAAGAAAGCACTTCTTTAGTATTTTTAATGTTCAGAATACTTTATATTTGCTAATTATTTAAAAAAATAGATAAAACACAAAACAAAACCCAGCAAAATGTAGATGTTTATTCTCCAGAAATCATTCAATTTAGAAAAAAATGACTTTGTTTCTTAGATAGGAGCACTTGATCTCCTTTTGTGTGACTTTTATGGGATATCCCTGCTGTCCCTCTGGAGTCGGCCCTGACAATTCAGCTTTGTCATGCGTGCATATATCATCTTTCTGTTGTGGGTCTGCCGGGAAGGGGGCTGGGGAAGCAGTTGGCGCGGGCCAGACGTGGGTGGTGACGTATTTGCGGCAATGAGGAAAACGTTCTCCAGGGAGGATGAGCTGGAGACCCTCCGTGTGCCGGCTCGGCACCCTGGGCTGGTGGTCCCCGTCCCCACATTCCTGGCTGACTCGATCCCAGGAGCTGCGAGCCCCTGAGGGCAGGAGCTGGAGGGGGCTCACAGCCCATCCTCAGCAGCTCCCACAGCCTCTTCACAGAGAATGCTCCCTAATGTGGTGACTGACTGACTCAATGAAAAAGGAAAAGTTTTCTCTTTCTGTGTCCAGGTCACAGGAGGGGTGGGAGAGTGATAAAAATTGTCGTTTTTATAATGATAAGCATGACCATGATGACAGCAATAACTTTTTTAGTATGATAATGAGGAAGCTAAGAGAACTAATCCATGGGATAACCATGGATTTGACTAAACCTCTGGTCTTTAGTTCCCTCCTAACATTGGACACAGCTACTCCTGGATAAGCCTTAAAAGAGCCCTGAATCTAACTGCCAAGCACGTTTCCAAACTCAGCTTCCGTGAACTTCTGCAGAAGCCTCACTCATGGGTTCTCCTTCCCCGTCCAGCCCGCCACACCTTTGGCCGCCACGCTGCCCGAGCCTCAGAATGCTCTTCCCTCTCCTACTCATGTTTCGGAATCATTCTACCACCTCATGGGATGTGAGCATTGTCACAGTGAATTCATGCAAAGTGTTTAGCAGGAAACTTGGCCCATATAGTGCCAGATAAGAAGCTGCTCTCACTCAGCCTAGCAGTGATGCTGGTCAGTGGAAAGGTTCAGGCAACAGGAATTCACATGCGATAATGAGTCATCCAAATAAAAAATTCATTCTTTTTCAAAATCATTTTTGTTGTTCTAAATTAGTCGTGTCTAGAGGCTACTGACGAAACTAAAATCATTCATTAGGTAGATGGAATGTATTTTGTGGATTTCTTTGCTTTCTTTCCTTTTTTGAAAGTAATTTTTATTTTATGAAATTTTTCTGGGCTTTAGAAATATTTTCCTCCTTTGCATTTCTGTTATGATTGGTTTGGTACACATCTTCACTCATTTTAACTCCCCGTGATTCTTTCAGACTCTGATGACATGAGAGACTGACTCCAAAAATCCTCCATGAGATTACAATCTCAATGTGGGTTTAGAATTCCATCTCTTTGGAGCTTAAAACTGAAGATCTCAAGTGAAAGGAAACATAACTTTAAATTTTCTCAGTGTGTTTTCATAGATTCAGATCCACTGCTTAAATTTCAAATTATTCTGATGGGTGATTGTAGACATTCTTCACATTCAGAACACGAGCCTGAATGTCTCAGAGCATCTTGCTGAGGCTGCTGTCATTGTGTTTCTTCCTTTTGTGGGTGCATATTTGGGGGTAAGAAAGGTGGTGAACTCAAGGGTAAAAGTTGCAGGCAATGACACTTTTCTTAAATTTGGGAAAGGACCGAAGGAACCAGGTTTAACAAAGTCAGACTTGTTCTACAAAAAGAATCAAAAGGACTTGAGAAAATGGCAGAGAAATCAGGAGGTAAGTTCTAGAAAAATAAGGGAAAATGCCCCGGATATTAATACCTCTTTTTCTTTTTCTTTTCTCAGTTAAGTGAAGGGAAGGGAGGGGAAGTGAAGATCAAAGTGACTTGTTTCCTTTAGAAATGCTGCTCACCAGCCTGAGGAGGAAACCTCCCTGGCTATTTTTGCAGTGGTGATTCAACCCCGAATGTAAGAACTGAAATGCTCTTCCACCTTCTGATGTCACCAAGAGCTATTGTGCAAATCACTAGCTCCCTGGCCATTCTCAAGTAATTGTTTGTCTTTCTAACAACAGCCCCATAAATCAGTCATGGTCTCAGGCATTGGAATCAAGTGTGAGTGAGTTTTCCCATCACTGAGAATCAATCAGAATCAAGTGGGGGGATCAGATGGCAAAGTGACGGAATCACAGTCAAGGGAGGGGCGACATGAAAATGTGAGCCTGGCCCTACGGGGTCACTGAGGCCCCTGGTTCCCCTTTGCTGATGCGCTCTCTCCACTGAAGCTGCAAGTCTCTTTTCACTTCCTGTTATTCTAATAGGTCATCATTCTTGGCGGGTGAGTGTTGACCTCTCCCAGTTTCATCACCCAAACCACCCAAACCATCAAAACACCAGAACAGCCAGGGCTTGAGAAGAAAGGTGCCAACTTTGATTTGCTTGTCTCTTTAGGTAAAGAATCATCTGATTTTCTTGCTATAGTAACACAGGAAACGTAAAAGTGAAAAATTTATTTCAACAAGTGAGGCTGTGTTTTTCTGATAGGTAAGAAGGGATTTTTAAGATGTTTGAAAAATGATTTATTTCCATCTAGTGAAGTAATTGATATTTTTGGCTAATTCTTTTGGGGTTATGGAGATAGCCTAAAGTTGCCCCTTCTTTTTCTGAATATGGTTACTGGTGGCTGTCCCTATGAAAGATGAGCCATCACCACCAAAACATTTAAAGGAAAATATCTATTTTCATTTACATCCATTATTTGTGATATTTCTTTTCTATTTCATGAAATTGATCTGTCAGTGAAAAAAATGTTTCCTTTGAGAAATACATAAGAAAGTATTACGACTAATTTCCTATTATTTCTGGTTCTACACCATGGAGAGTTTCAACGTTTTCAGTCTATGTGAAACATTTTCCCTGAGGTCTTTGTACTCAGGCACAGGCATTTACTCATTTGGAAAATGTTAGTGTAAAGTGCAAGGACTCTGGAATCAGATCTGTGCCTCTTAGTATTAACCAGGCAGGTTGGCTCGCCTGTTTGATCCTCAGTTTCCTACTGTGCAGGCTCATTGCAGGGTGTAAAGACAGTGTGTGTAAAGCCCCTGGAATGGGACCTGACGTGTTGTGGGCATTTGGTGAGTGGAGCGATTGAAGCAGTGCTCTGGCTCTCGTGGTGATAACAGTGGATGCAATTGCTCTGACTTTGTTACCACGGTAGAAATGCTGCTGGTGGTATGAAGACCTTTTTCTTTGTCCTCCACCATAACTCATTTGACTATTTTTATCCAGGAACAAAAAGGAGACACTGAGCTCTCTCTGCTTTTGAAGTGTAAACTGAGAGTCCTGTGATTTTTAACAAAGTC